TGGTTCTGGTTCTGGTTTCATGGGTCAGAATCCAGATGAATGATCTGACTTTAAATTAGTTCATCTCAATAAAATATTTTGTTTATGAAAGTAGAAAACTGGACTGGATTCATTCTCACGCGTTACCAGAAGGCACAAGGAGAGAGATGGTCATGGACCAGGTCCAGGTCCCTGGCACTGCCTGGACCAGGTCTCCTGTGCAGGTCCAGTTCCCTGGCACTGCCTGGACCAGGTCTCCTGTGCAGGTCCAGGTCTCCTGTGCAGGTCCAAGTCCCTGGCACTGCCTGGACCAGGTCCTGTGCAGGTCCAGGTCCCTGGCACTGCCTGGACCAGGTCCTGTGCAGGTCCAGGTCCCTGGCACTGCCTGGACCAGGTCTCCGGTCCAGGTCCAGGTCCCTGGCACTGCCTGGACCAGGTCTCCTGTGCAGGTCCAGGTCCCTGGCACTGCCTGGACCAGGTCTCCTGTGCAGGTCCAGGTCCCTGGCACTGCCTGGACCAGGTCTCCTGTGCAGGTCCAGGTCCCTGGCACTGCCTGGACCAGGTCTCCTGTGCTGGTCCAGGTCTCCGGCACTGCCTGGACCAGGTCTCCTGTGCAGGTCCAGGTCCCTGGCACTGCCTGGACCAGGCCCTGTGCAAGTCCAGGTCTCCAGTACTGCCTATAGGGTGTTTCTGAAGCCTGTAAAGAATGGAGCTTCGGACACTAACCTGTACTTAAAGGTGTAATATGTAAGTAATCCAGCCAGTGGTGTAATCTCGGTACTGCAGCCCAGTTTTCCACACGGTGACTCGATGCCATAGTGAGTTTCATGTGTTGCCAGAGGATTCTTGGTGAGCAGAAGTGATGGGTCCAGCAACACCGGTGCATGTGTCAGGCTCATGGAGCGAAACCTGTCGATGCGCGTGTTGCTTTAAGAAAAAGTCATGTGACCGACACTGCTGCTGTGTTGCTCATTGCCAAGGCGCCAACCTGTGTTTATAAGGTATTGACTCTGCATCTGTCAACGGGATGAGTCGCCGTGAGAAGATCATTAAACAAGACGTCCTACACAACAGAATGGAGCCAGAGAAGGTTCTGCTGTGTGGGATCATTTAGATCTTTTAACTGCAAATAAGGTACGCGTTGTCTTGCTTCTGCACATCTGTCAGAGCTGTAAACGGCAACGTGACTGACTCTCAGTGTAAAGTATTTAATTTTATTTAGGTTAAATGTCGCATCTGCTCAGCGGAGCTGTCCTAGAGCACTTCCTCAATGCCGAGACATTAAGAGCCAAGCATGAAAACCAAGAGGAAGCACCAAGAACGAACACAGGCAGACCCACATAGACACTGGGCGTGCTTTGTCACGACTGTTTTACAAATATATGTTTTATTATTTTATATGTTTTATTATTTTAATATTTTATTATTTTATATGTTTTATTATTTTATATGTTTTATATGTTTTATTATTTTATATGTTTTACGTTTTATTATTTTATATGTTTTATTATTTTATATGTTTATTATTTTATATGTTTTATTATTTTGAAATCTAGAATCTAGGAAGATTGCTCTGGACCAAGCAGTTCTGGCTTTTATTTTGAAGGACTGCCAGCCCCTGAGCATTGTGGAGCGTGAGGGGTTCCGGTCCTTGATCCATCTCACGTTTTGCCAACCAGAGAGGTTTGTACACACACGTCTCAGACAGCTGCTGTTCCTCGTGTCACATGTACATAAGTATTAGACCGTGGCCCGATTTAAGGGTTCGGACACAGCAAACAAAAATAAACACGTGATTCAAACGTCATGCCTGCATCCAGAGTCACCTCTGGGTATAAAAGTGGATTCAACAGGGCAAAACAGAAGGTCTTGCTTTAACGACAGGCGGACTGATAAGTGTGTCGAGTACTGGACTGATGTTGATTCATTGTCAGACGGTTAAGGAAGTGATGGCTAAAGACATGCGGAGGAACGGGAACGAGTGAAGAGGGAAGTACAGCGAGCCGTGGCCGTGAGTAGAACCGCTGACGCGGACCTCCGTGAACACGGGGGCTTGGCTCTCACCCGTCACCACATCTGTGCTGGGAGTCCAACCCTTCCCACAGAGTCTCACTGCTGACACTCTGGCCCAAGTCAACAGGTGCGTGATGGATGACTGGGCCATGACAGACAGGTAAGGTGACCCACGCAGCACCAAACATGATGGCAGCAGCAACTCTTCATATCCGACATTCATCTGCATTTTGCACACAAACTAAATTTAATAGAAGATCCTGAACTTTCATCCGTAAGACACAAATCTAGGCAACCCTTATCGTTCTTCAGGTCCAGCACCGCAGCAGCAGCTGGGACGGCCCACCCTGACACGTGTCGGTGAGGTACCGACCCGCTGGAGCACACTAACCCTAACCTGAACCAGTGTGGGTGTCCAGACCGACTGAACTCCACTCACAGCTGATGGGCTCACTTGTGCTGGCCGCTTTCCATCAGGCCACAGTGGAGTTGTCTGAGGAGAGGAGTTTCAGGGTCAAAGGTCATCCCGATGATGAAAATGCTGTAATGTGCACTTGAGCGTAACTCTTTACATCCACACACACACACAAGCAGCCACGCGTGTCCATGAGCAGCCTCGACGCCGCGTCCCGGACTGCTGCTGACCCGGAGTCATCAGGTGTGTTACCTATCAGCACCTCCACACCCCAGGTTTAAAACACTCGCATGTCCTGGTTCCTCCGAGTGTGCTGCAGCCCCAGCCTCAGAGCACTTACCCACTGCAGGCAAGTTGTTCACTACCATCAGCTGATCGTCACGCCTGTTTGCTGCTCGTGTGTATTAAATACCGAGTAGAGGACAACAATGTGTTTTTATTTCAGATCCGTGGCAGCAGCTGATCAAGAGGTTGGCGGACAAACCCCCACCGCATCAGCTGACTCGATCACTGAGGTCCAGCGCTAGCGGAACCGGAACACATCCCACCTAAAACCTTCCTCCTGGTTTTACTGGTTCAGTGGCCCAGTTTCTACTGGGAGCGTGTTCTCCAGCGCTGGTGAAAGTGTCCAAAAACACTAAAGACTGGATAAACTTGTTTTTCTGAATAAACATTTATAAAAAATAAAAACTGAGTCAATGACACTTTAACGTCACCTGGTGTCGTTCAGAGTATTGTGAGGCGTCAACATTTTAAATGTACTTTAAAATAATCCCAGAAGAAGAAGTGCTACAGTAATGTACACAAGTATGATCGGGTCACTGAACCCTAACCCGTCACCGGTTCTGTTCAGAAGGGTTCGGGTGTGTGGAGGGGATCTGAGGACCAGGTCTGGTCCTGAGGGCTTCATCAGAACCATCAGAACCGGTCTCCAGCTCTGAGCGGATCGCTGCTGAGTGAAGCAGCTCCTCTAAACCTGAGACCATCAGAAGAGGTTGGGAGGTCTTCTCCGAGTCAGGGACAGGTCCTGCCCCAAGTGGAGGACTTGTTCACGGGTCGGTGCTGGTCCAGTCTGGGACTGGGAGTTAACTGGGTCTGGGTGCACACATCAGCTCACCGGGATCTTGGACCTCCCAGGAACCGGAGCTGCTGTCTCGGTCGTTGTGGTGAACCAGAACCAGAACCCGTTTCCGGCCCATCTCAGAGGAAGCTGGTTCCGGTGCTGCCCGCTGCCTTCACACTCCTTATATGGAGAGGAATCGGTCCCGCGACCAGGGCGGAAGCGCGGCGCGGTGGCTGCTGGGAAATCTCAGCGACCAGGAAGAAGCGAGCGAACCCCTCGGTACCAACGGACCCAAACACTGCTCCACCCGCCTAGCAGGTAAGCGGAGACGGTTCCGTTGGGTTTCTGGAGCGAGTCGCGGCTCTTATTTGTGACGCCGAACCGAACCGAACCCCCGAGCAGACGCAGAATTTGGGGAAGTGGAGAGGGTGTGTCGAGGACGAACCGGCCTAACGGAACACTCCCGGTCCGGTTAAATCTGTCTGGTGAACATGTTCTGACAGGAGCGGTTCGGTTCGGTGTTCTGAATACTTTAGCTTAAGCTTCTGGTTCGGTATTCCCGGTGCCGCCACCGGAGGAACGAGGCCGGTGTGTTTACCGGGAGTCTGCACTAAACGGGGACACGGAACCCAGCACAACACCCCACCGGCGCTGCTAGCTGCTAGCATTAGCGTCAGCCTGTTTGTTTTCTCACCTGTGAGCAAGGTGAACGCACCCCCACCGGAAGCTAACCGGGCCGGGACCGAGCCCAACCCGGTCACCTGGACAGGTGTCCCAGGGCTCAGACATCTGGACCTGCAGAGAGGCTTCCACATCAGAACCACCCAGAGTTCTGGTACCACTGGGTTCTCTCCAGTCAGGTACAGAGCCAAACATCTGGGGCTGGGTCAGAACCGAGCCAGGATCAGCTGATCAGCGCGGGTTTTTAGGTCAGGGACACGAGACCGTTTCCCTCATCTACCTGGAAAAAGCTGGGGACGATGGTGCCTGGTATTCACTTCCTGTTGGAGCTTCCCCCAACACACACACACACACACACACACACACACACACACACACACCCCTTCACCTGCTCAGTCCAACGCCTCCTGTCTTCAGGTGTGTGTGTGTGTGTGTGTGTGTGTGTGTGTGTGTGTGTATTAAGTAAAGTGTATTTATAGAGCGCCTTTCACAGATATACATCACAAAGTGCTGTACAACATGAGTAAGCTCAGGGCAAACACCTCTAACCAATAAAAACAACAACAGTAAACAAAGTGACGGTGTGAACAAGAACAAAGCCGTCTTTAGAATATTTAGCGGGAACGCCTGGATGAAAAGGTGAGTTTTAAGATGATTTTTGAAGACCTCTACAGATTTCAAGAGACTGTGTGTGTGTGTGTGTGTGTGTGTGTGTGTGTGTGTGTGTGTGTGTGTGTGTGTGTGTGTGTGAGTTGGGAGAAGCTCCAGGCTGAGGTAATCTGAGCTAACTCCAGTCCGTCCCCTAAACCAGGTGAGGCTCACCTGTGACTCAGTGCTTTAGTGTGTTTCTTTGTTTGGTTGTGAAGCGACTGGAGTGGTTCTGTTGCCCCACATACCTACAGTCTGCGTGTTCTGACCCGTTACACACACACACACACCTGCTGGTTCCCGATGCACCAGAACCGGTGATTTCTGCCTCCACATGCTCCTGAGCGCAGAGGTCCAGGTGAGGTAGGCGTCTTCATCAGAGGAAGAGGAGGGGCTGACTGCTGCAACAGCATCCACATGTGGAGCCTTCTGACAGCTGCTGGAGGCTGGTGAGAAGGTGTGAGGAGCTTCATGCTGGATGGATTCAGAGCCGTGGAGATGGTAGTTCATCTTCTACAACAAGGACTCGTTACTGCGATGCCTCCTGTTCCTGAGCTGGGCCGCTCTGGCACGGCTGCAGCTGCGACGCCTTAGTGGGAACATAAAATCTGACCCCGTTTCCCGGTCCTGGAATCCCTGAACGCTGCCTGTGGACTTCTGATCGGTTCTTTAAAGCGTTAGACGGGTTCGATCCTTGCCTACACTCACACACCCTACCGTGCTTCCCCATCGGTGACGGTTTGTACGGTCAGGCTGAAGACCTCGTTTGCTCCGGCCTTCACCCACGGTACCAGTCCCTGTCCTGTCCCCAACATCTGTACGGCGGGCCTGGACCCCCGCTTCTGTCTGTTACTATAGGTGGATGGATGATGGATGGATGGATGGATGCATGGATGGAAGGATGGATGAATAGATGGATGGATGGATAGATGGATGGATGGAAGGATGGATGGATGGATAGATGGAAGGATGGATGGATGGATGGATGGATGAATAGATGGATGGATGCATGGATAGATGGATGGATGGAAGGATGGATGGATGGATAGATGGAAGGATGGATGGATGGATGGATGGATGAATAGATGGATGGATGCATGGATAGATGGATGGATGGATGGATGAATAGATGGATGATGGATGGATGAATAGATGGATGGATGATGGATGGATGGATGGATGAATGGATGAATGGATGAATAGATGGATGGATGGATGGATGAATAGATGGATGGGTGGATAGATGGAAGGATGGATTGATGGATGGATGGATGGATGAATAGATGGATGATGGATGGATGAATAGATGGATGGATGGATGATGGATGGATGGATTGATGGATGGATGGATGATGGATGGATGAATAGATGGATGATGGATGGATGGATTGATGGATGGATGGATTGATGGATGGATGAATAGATGGATGATGGATGGATGAATAGATGGATGGATGGATGGATGGATGAATAGATGGATGATGGATGGATGAATAGATGGATGGATGGATGGATAGATGGAAGGATGGATTGATGGATGGATGGATGAATAGATGGATGGATGGATGGATGGATGATGGATGATGGATGGATGGATGGATGGATGGATGATGGATGGATGGATGGATGGATGGATGGATGGATGATGGATGGATGATGGATGGATGGATGGATGGATGGATGGATGGATGGATGGATGGATGATGGATGGATGGATGGATGGATTGATGCATGGATGGATGGATGGATGGATGGATGGATGGATTGATGCATGGATGGATGAATACATGGATGGATGGATGATGGATGGATGGATAGATGGAAGGATGGATTGATGGATGGATGAATAGATGGATGATGGATGGATGAATAGATGGATGGATGGATGGATGGATGAATAGATGGATGATGGATGGATGAATAGATGGATGGATGGATGGATAGATGGAAGGATGGATTGATGGATGGATGGATGAATAGATGGATGGATGGATGGATGGATGCATGGATGGATGGATGGATGGATTGATGCATGGATGGATGGATGGATGGATTGATGCATGGATGGATGAATACATGGATGGATGGATGGATGGATGGATGGATTGATGCATGGATGGATGAATACATGGATGGATGGATGATGGATGGATGGATGGATTCACACAAATGCATAAAGAGACAAATAAAAGACATGAGAATGTTTTCATCGTGAATGAAACTAAGAATCCAGAGTTGTGACTGCGGTGGGAACACGCGGTTTCCTGGCCAGTGGAACTCTGACCTCCTTCCTGATGGAAGCAGCTGAGAATGTGGGTTCGTGGATGGGTTGGGTCTGCACTGATCAGGGTAGCCTTCCTGTGCGCTGCTCGCTGGTGAGGAACAGGAAGTGGGATCTGAGGTGAACCTGTAATTCTGCTGCCTAACGTAACAATGAGAGAGAGGTTTTGTTTTTAACTGTAGAAAGGGTTACCGAGCTGTAATCCTGAACGTTAGGATGGATTCAGTCATTTGTATACAACTGTTAGGATGTCCTTGTTCACATCGAGTGCTCTTAGCGTCCTCAGCAGGCGGAGTCTTTGCAGCGCGTTCTTGTAGACACCGTTGCTGTGATTCGTAAAGGACAGGTGGTCATCAGCTTCTGTTCCCAGATACCTAAATGACTGAACCTGCTCCACAGGCTGACCCTGTACGCCGAGGGGTTTGAACAGGGGCGTGTCTGCCCCCCAGCACATTTCTTTAGTTTTTGACATTCAGCCCCAGGCGAAAGTCTCCAAATGTCTGGTCCATGTTACTACGGTAACATTCTGCTCCCAGTTTCAGCACCACGTTTGTTTTTCTAGCTCATGGTGTCTCGTCTCACCTGGCAGGTATGGCAGAATTATCAAGTCTGGTTCAGAGGCTGGAGGCAGCCGTGGGTCGTCTGGAGGTCATGTCGGGATCAGGAGGCGGCTCTGGAGCCTCTGCTGGGGGGGGTAAGAACCAAAAACACACACACTGATGGTCAAGTCCAGTCCAGAACATGGACCTGAACCTGGTCCAGACTGACATGGTCTGTAGTTACTCTCCATGTCTCTCCAGTGAAGTATCTCCTAATAATAACTTACAAAATACACATCTCCACCTGGATGTAACTAAGACGGCAGGAGCCTGCAACAAGTTCAGCTGCTTCTCATTTCTCAAACAACCAGGAGGAAAGTCACATCTGGTGATGGAGAAGATGTTAGTCTGGGTGAGAAGGGCCAGCTCATCGGCATCGAGCAGAGAAAACCTCTAAGGAGATTCAGAAACTGGGTTCAGAACTAAAACTGGGTTCAGAACTAAAACTGGGTTCAGAACTAAAACTGGGTTCAGAACTGTCCGACGCTTTATCACAACTGGGTGCCAGCGGCAGCAGTAGTAGTATTAGTGGTAGCAGCAGATGTAGTAGTAGCAGTAGTGTTACCCCGGGTTTCCACGGGAGCCGTCAGCAGCACGTTACTGCAGCAGCACGTCTAGCTGCTGCTTGGCCCTTCCCACGAGACGTGAAGCAGCAGGGGAGCAGCTGTCACCGACCGAGCACGAAGTCACACGAGTGACTTCGTCAGTAAACACAACAACAAGCAGGAGAAAACTACAACATGGTTTGTTTTATGTTCTGTCCGTTTTATAATCGCCAATACGGACCTGAAAAACAAAGGAGACCGCTAGCTAGGTGATAACTTCTCACGGTGCTGCACAGTTAGTAACCTTTTTTTAAGTAAAGCAACCGGAAGGCAGCACGTTCTTTATTCTGAAAATCTCGGTAGCTTCTCTCCATTTCCGCGTCCGATTTCCTGTCTTTCCTTCCCCAAAAATGTCGAACTTGACCCGTTTCAGAGGCGTCGCGCGTAGAAAATAGAACCGGCGCGTAAAGGCCGCGACATGCTGCTCCTGAGACGCGGCCGACTCGCGCTGCTGACGGCTCCGGTGGAAAAGGTTCTGTTGACCACAGCGGTTCCTATCAGCAGCTATGACGCGCTGCTGCAGTAACGTGCTGCTGACGGCTCCGGTGGAAAGAATGGGTTAGTAGTAGCAGCAGTTGTAGTAGTAGCAGCAGTAGTATTAGTAGTAGTAGTATTAGTAGTAGCAGCAGTATTAGTAGCAGCAGTAGCAGTATTAGTAGTAGCAGTATTAGTATTAGTAGTAGCAGCAGTAGTAGTAGTAGCAGTATTAGTAGCAGCAGTAGCAGTATTAGTAGCAGCAGTAGCAGTATTAGTAGTAGCAGTAGTATTAGTAGTAGCAGCAGTAGTAGTATTAGTAGTAGCAGCAGTTGTAGTAGCAGCTGTAGTAGCAGCAGTAGTAGTATTAGTAGCAGCAGCAGTAGTAGTAGCAGCAGTAGTAGTATTAGTAGCAGCAGTAGTAGTATTAGTAGTAGCAGCAGTAGTAGTATTAGTAGTAGCAGCAGTAGTAGTATTAGTAGCAGCAGCAGTAGTAGTATTAGTAGCAGCAGCAGTAGTAGTATTAGTAGCAGCAGCAGTAGTAGTATTAGTAGCAGCAGCAGTAGTATTACTAGCAGCAGCAGCAGTAGTATTAGTAGTAGTAGCAGCAGCAGTAGTATTAGTAGTAGTAGTATTAGCAGCAGTAGCAGTAGTAGCAGTAGTATTAGCAGCAGCAGCAGTAGTAGCAGCAGCAGCAGTAGTAGCAGCAGTAGTATTAGTAGCAGCAGTATTAGTAGTAGCAGCAGTAGTATTAGCAGTAGCAGCAGTAGTATTAGCAGCAGCAGTAGTAGTATTAGTAGTAGCAGCAGTAGTAGTATTAGTAGTAGCAGCAGTTGTAGTAGCAGCAGTAGTAGTATTAGTGGCAGCAGCAGTATTAGTAGCAGCTGTAGTAGCAGCAGTAGTAGTATTAGTAGCAGCAGCAGTATTAGTAGCAGCAGCAGTATTAGTAGCAGCAGCAGCAGTAGTAGCAGCAGCAGTAGTAGCAGCAGCAGTAGGAGCAGCAGCAGTAGTAGTTGCAGCAGTAGTAGTAGCAGTAGTAGTAGTAGTAGTAGCAGTAGTAGTAGTAGTAGCAGCAGTAGTAGTATTAGTAGTAGCAGCAGCAGTAGTATTAGTTGTAGTAGCAGCAGCAGCAGCAGCAGTAGTACAGCAGTAGTAGTAGCAGCAGTAGTAGTAGCAGCAGCAGTAGTAGCAGCAGCAGCAGTAGTAGCAGCAGCAGTAGCAGCAGCAGCAGCAGTAGCAGCAGCAGTAGTAGCAGCAGCAGTAGTAGTAGCAGCAGCAGTAGTAGTATTAGTAGCAGCAGCAGTAGTAGCAGCAACAGTAGTAGCAGCAGCAGCAGCAGCAGTAGTAGCAGCAGCAGTAGTAGTATTAGTAGCAGCAGCAGTAGCAGCAGCAGTAGTAGCAGCAGCAGCAGTAGTAGCAGCAGCAGCAGTAGTAGCAGCAGCAGTAGTAGCAGCAGCAGTAGTAGTAGCAGCAGCAGCAGTAGTAGTAGCAGTAGTAGTAGCAGCAGTAGTATCAGTAGCAGCAGTAGTAGTATTAGTAGCAGCAGCAGTAGTAGTATTAGTAGCAGCAGCAGTAGTATTAGTAGTAGTAGCAGCAGTAGTAGTAGCAGCAGCAGTAGCAGTAGTAGCAGCAGTAGCAGTAGTAGCAGCAGCAGCAGTAGTAGTAGTATTAGTAGCAGCAGTAGTATTAGCAGCAGCAGTAGTATTAGCAGCAGCAGCAGTAGTATTAGCAGCAGTAGTATTAGCAGCAGTAGTATTAGTAGCAGCCGCAGTAGTATTAGTAGTAGCAGCAGTAGTAGTATTAGTAGCAGTATTAGTAGCAGCAGCAGTAGTATTAGTAGCAGCAGTAGTATTAGCAGCAGCAGCAGTAGTAGTATTAGTAGCAGTATTAGTAGCAGCAGCAGTAGTATTAGTAGTAGTAGTAGCAGCAGCAGCAGCAGTAGCAGCAGCAGCAGTAGTAGTAGCAGCAGTAGTAGTAGTAGTAGGAGCAGTAGTAGTATTAGTAGCAGCAGTAGTAGTATTAGTAGTAGCAGCAGTAGTAGTATTAGTAGTAGCAGCAGTAGTAGTATTAGTAGCAGCAGCAGTAGTAGTATTAGTAGCAGCAGCAGTAGTATTAGTAGTAGGAGTAGTAGTAGCAGCAGTAGTAGTAGTAGCAGCAGTAGTAGCAGCAGCAGTAGTATTAGTAGCAGCAGCAGCAGTAGTATTAGCAGAAGCAGTAGTATTAGCAGCAGCAGCAGCAGTAGTAGTAGCAGCAGTAGTATTAGTAGCAGCAGCAGTAGTAGCAGCAGTAGTAGTAGCAGCAGTAGTAGTATTAGTAGTAGCAGCAGTAGTGTTGGTAGTAGCATTAGTAGCAGCAGTAGTAGTAGTACCAGCAGCAGTAGTAGTAGTAGCAGTAGTATTGGTAGTAGCATTAGTAGCAGCAGTAGTATTGGTAGTAGCATTAGTAGCAGCAGTAGTAGTATTAGCCGCAGTATTCGTAGCAGCAGCAGCAGTAGTAGTAGCAGCAGCAGTTGTATTAGTAGCAGTAGTAGTATTAGTAGCAGCAGCAGTAGTATTGGTAGCAGCAGTAGTAGTAGCAGCAGCAGTAGTAGTAGCAGCAGTAGTATTGGTAGCAGCAGTAGTATTGGTAGCAGCAGTAGTATTGGTAGCAGCAGTAGTAGTAGCAGCAGTAGTAGTAGTAGCAGCAGCAGTAGTAGTAGCAGCAGTAGTAGTAGCAGCAGCAGTAGTAGTAGCAGCAGCAGTAGTAGTAGCAGCAGCAGTAGTAGTAGCAGCAGTATTCGTAGTAGCAGCAGTATTCGTAGCAGCAGTATTCGTAGCAGCAGTAGTAGTAGCAGCAGTAGTAGTATTTGTAGCAGCAGTAGAATTGGTAGCAGCAGTAGTAGTAGCAGCAGTAGTAGTATTAGAAGCAGTAGTAGTATTAGCAGCAGTAGTAGTATTAGCAGCAGTATTCGTAGCAGCAGCAGTAGTATTAGCAGCAGTATTCGTAGCAGCAGCAGTAGTATTAGCAGCAGTATTCGTAGCAGCAGCAGTAGTATTAGCAGCAGTATTCGTAGCAGCAGCAGTAGTATTAGCAGCAGTATTCGTAGCAGCAGCAGTAGTATTAGCAGCAGTATTAGTAGCAGCAGTAGTAGTATTAGTAGCAGCAGTAGTAGTATTAGTAGTAGCAGCAGTAGTATTAGTAGTAGCAGCAGTAGTATTAGTAGCAGCAGTAGTAGTATTAGTAGTAGCAGCAGTAGTATTAGTAGTAGCAGCAGTAGTAGTATTAGTAGCAGTATTAGTAGCAGCAGCAGTAGTATTAGTAGTAGCAGCAGTAGTAGCAGCAGCAGTAGTATTAGTAGCAGCAGCAGTAGTAGCAGCAGCAGCAGTAGTAGTAGCAGCAGTAGTAGTATTAGTATTAGCAGCAGTAGTAGTATTAGTAGTAGCAGCAGTAGTATTGGTAGTAGCATTAGTAGCAGCAGTAGTATTGGTAGTAGCATTAGTAGCAGCAGTAGTAGTATTGGTAGTAGCATTAGTAGCAGCAGTAGTAGTAGTAGCAGCAGTAGTAGTAGTAGCAGCAGCAGTAGTAGCAGCAGTAGTAGTAGCAGCAGTAGTAGTTGTAGCAGCAGTAGTAGCAGCAGTAGTAGTAGTAGCAGTAGTATTGGTAGTAGCATTAGTAGCAGCAGTAGTATTGGTAGTAGCATTAGTAGCAGCAGTAGTAGTATTAGCAGCAGTATTATTAGTAGCAGCAGCAGTAGTATTGGTAGCAGCAGTATTAGTAGCAGCAGTATTAGTAGTAGCAGCAGTAGTAGTATTAATAGTAGCAGCAGTAGTATTAGTAGCAGTAGTATTAGTAGCAGCAGTAGTATTAGTAGCAGCAGTAATAGTAGTAGTAGCAGCAGTAGTAGTAGTAGCAGCAGTAGTAGTAGTAGTAGTAGCAGCAGTAGTTGCAGCAGCAGTAGTAGTATTAGTAGCAGCAGTAGTAGTATTAGTAGCAGCAGTAGTAGTATTAGTAGCAGCAGCAGTAGTATTAGTAGCAGCAGCAGCAGTATTAGTAGCAGCAGCAGTCGTAGTATTAGCAGCAGCAGTAGCAGTATTAGTAGCAGCAGTAGTAGTATTAGTAGCAGCAGCAGTAGTATTAGTAGCAGCAGTCGTAGTATTAGCAGCAGCAGTCGTAGCAGTATTAGTAGCAGCAGTAGTATTAGTAGCAGTAGTATTAGTAGCAGCAGCAGTAGTATTAGTAGCAGCAGTCGTAGTATTAGCAGCAGCAGTCGTAGCAGTATTAGTAGCAGCAGCAGTCGTAGCAGTATTAGTAGCAGCAGTAGTAGTATTAGTAGCAGCAGTAGTATTATTAGCAGTAGCAGTCGTTGCAGTATTAGTAGCAGCAGTAGTAGTATTAGTAGTAGTAGTATTAGTAGTATTAGTAGCAGCAGCAGCAGCAGTATTAGCAGCAGCAGCAGTATTAGCAGCAGCAGTCGTAGTATTAGCAGCAGCAGTCGTAGCAGTATTAGTAGCAGCAGTAGTAGTATTAGTAGCAGCAGCAGTAGTATTAGTAGCAGCAGCAGTAGTATTAGTAGCAGCAGCAGTAGTATTAGTAGCAGTAGTAGTATTAGTAGCAGCAGTCGTAGTATTAGCAGCAGCAGTCGTAGTATTAGCAGCAGCAGTCGTAGCAGTATTAGTAGCAGCAGTAGTATTATTAGTAGCAGCAGTAGTATTAGTAGCAGCAGCAGTAGTATTAGTAGCAGCAGCAGTAGTATTAGTAGCAGCAGTCGTAGTATTAGCAGCAGCAGTCGTAGCAGTATTAGTAGCAGCAGCAGTCGTAGCAGTATTAGTAGCAGCAGTAGTAGTATTAGTAGCAGCAGTAGTAGTATTAGCAGCAGCAGTCGTTGCAGTATTAGTAGCAGCAGTAGTAGTATTAGTAGCAGCAGTAGTAGTATTAGTAGCAGCAGCAGCAGTATTAGCAGCAGCAGTCGTAGTATTAGCAGCAGCAGCCGTAGCAGTATTAGTAGCAGCAGTAGTATTATTAGTAGCAGCAGCAGTAGTATTAGTAGCAGCAGCAGTAGTATTAGTAGCAGCAGCAGTAGTATTAGTAGCAGCAGTCGTAGTATTAGCAGCAGCAGTCGTAGCAGTATTAGTAGCAGCAGTCGTAGTATTAGTAGCAGCAGTAGTAGTATTAGCAGCAGCAGTCGTTGCAGTATTAGTAGTCGCAGTATTAGTATTAGTAGCAGCAGTAGTATTAGCAGCAGCAGTCGTAGCAGTATTAGTAGTAGCAGTATTAGTATTAGTAGCAGCAGTAGTAGCAGCAGCAGCAGTAGTATTAGCAGCAGCAGTCGTAGCAGTATTAGTAGTAGCAGTATTACTATTAGTAGCAACAGTATTAGTATTAGTAGCAGCAGTAGCAGTATTAGTATTAGTAGCAGCTGCAGTATTAGTAGCAGCAGTAGCAGTATTAGTAGCAGCAGTATTAGTATTAGCAGTAGCAGTATTAGTATTAGCAGCAGCAGTATCAGTATTAGTAGCAGCAGTAGCAGTATTAGCAGCAGCAGTATTAGTATTAGCAGCAGCAGTATCAGTATTAGTAGCAGCAGCAACAGTATTAGCACTAGCAGCAGCAGTATTAGTCGCAGTAGCAGCAGCAGTATTAGTAGTAGCAGTATTAGTATTAGTAGCAGTATCAGTATTAGTAGCAGCAGCAGCAGTATCAGTATTAGTAGCAGCAGCAACAGTATTAGCACTAGCAGCAGCAGTATTAGTCGCAGTAGCAGCAGCAGTATTAGTAGTAGCAGTATTAGTATTAGTAGCAGCAGTATTAGTATTAGTAGCAGCAGTAGCAGTATTAGTAGCAGCTGCAGTATTAGTAGCAGCAGTAGCAGTATTAGTAGCAGCAGTAGCAGTATTAGTAGCAGCAGTATTAGTATTAGCAGCAGCAGTAGCAGTATTAGTAGCAGCAGTATTAGTATTAGCAGCAGCAGTATTAGTATTAGTAGCAGCAGTAGCAGTATTAGTAGCAGCAGTATTAGTATTAGCAGCAGCAGTATCAGTATTAGTAGCAGCAGCAACAGTATTAGCACTAGCAGCAGCAGTATTAGTCGCAGTAGCAGCAGTAGTATTAGTAGTAGCAATAATATTAGTTTTAGTAGCAGCAGTAGTATTAGTAGTAGCAGTAGCAGTATTAGTAGCAGCAGTAGCAGTATTAGTAGCAGCAGTAGCAGTATTAGCAGCAGCAGTAGCAGTATTAGTAGCAGCAGTATTAGTATTAGCAGCAGC